TGGGAACAAGGCTCAGAGAAAGGAACACTGTGTTCTGCTACAATGGCGCTCATTGCATTTTATCATGTTTTCAGCTATTTTATGTGGTACAATATTTTGCTTTGGTATTTTCTGATTGTTATACAGACCGTTAATAGCTTGGCTTTCAGGGCTGCATAACACAAATCCTGTGGAAATCAATGCAGTATGTCCTCAGTACATTTATATATAAAACTTAAGAGAATTTTCAGGGGTCCAGTTCGTTAGGAAAAAGCATGTTTAGTATCATGCCTCAGAAATGTAGACATAATGGATGCTGACTCTGGCACATACAGATAGCAGGGTAGACTGATCTTTTTACATCTGTAAGTTAGTAACTTAGATGCCCATTCAGGTGTTCGGACATCCAAGTACCTGAATAGAATGAAAAAGTGTAACAACTGACTGGCATTTTAAGGTGTGCATCCATCTGTAGGGGGTACAAGGGACAGTGGAGGAAAAAATGACCATATTATCCTTATGTCAATAGTATTTGATGGCCATTTAGTTCCTCAGAACCTTTGGACTGATGCAGGCTTTCTCAGTTCAGAATTTGCTCAAATGCAGTACAACCAGGAAAGATACTTATGTGCAGGAGATTAAAACTCACATAAAATTATGGCAGAGTTGCATTTGAGCCTCCTGAGCACATCTGTTTGTAATCCATAGTGTTTAAGGAGGAGGAATTACCATAACTCTAGTCACAGCCATTGGGACTGGCACACAGGTAATAGCTAGTCATATCATAAGGAGCATAGATAAAAAAAATTTTTGCACTCCTAAGATCAAATATCTTCTGATGCTTTCTCTTTCAAGCAAATAAACACTACACCTCTACTCTGAGCTTTTGCTCATAATTTACCAAGTCCTTTTAGAGCTGTCGTTGGACAAATAATAGTTAAATATCTAACTGCCCTCTCTTTTGAACATTAGCAAGTTCTCTCTAACTGCAGTGATATGAATGATGTGACTCATATATCACTGGTGTGTCTGTCACAAGGGAGTTAGCCTGAGAGATAGGAAAATTAGTAGGTGATCATGCCATGAGTGAACCATAAAGATTATGTCTTGGTAATGTTACTCATCTTGAGAAAGTCCCTTATTGCACACAGAATGTCTTTTTCATTAACTGAAGTAGAGTCTAGCACTGGGTTAAAATCTTTAGGATTTGGCCTGGTATTTTTAACTTTTAATTTGGCACTGTAATGGAACAATATGAGCTACTCATTCTTATGCAGTAAATACCAAAAATTGTTTTGTTGTATTCTTGTAGTTACCAAGCTCATATTGTGCAATAAACTGTAAATGTATTTTTAAAACAATATGGTATTAATAAATGGTATTAATACAATATGGTATTTAGATTCTCTGTGAGTTTACTGCTAAGTTCATTGTACACTGCCTATTTTCAACAGAGAAAGAAGTTGGTGTTTTAATAAAACTTCAGAAATGTGTTTATGGTGCAGTTTTACATTTCTGTTAAATTCTACAGAACATAAATGTTTTTAGTCTTATAAAACAGCTCACATGGACATAAGGGCCATAATTAAAATATGCAGAATAGTAAGAGATTAACCAGAAATTGCAAGTTACCTGTCTCCTATTCATGAACAAGGGGATATTTGGCTGCACAGAATATTAATAAAATTTAAATATATACCACGCAATATGGAAGTTTTGCTGATGGCAGAAAGTTGAGAGGATTCAGAAAATCAGAACTTACGGGCTTGGTATAAGTATCGGCATCTCCACATTCAATCTTTGTACCTACCAAAATATAGAGTGTTGATAGAACATGAGGATTTATTAGTGTGTTTATATATAATTAAGTTAGGTAGATTTAACAGAAGACCTGATACTGACACTTCACAGTGTTGATTATCCACCAGTTGACGTCACTAGGAAAAAATGTACCTTGCTAATCAAGTTACTTGCCATGGACTTTTCTTAAAACTTTCCATGAAGCCCTTCATACTAACGATTATCACAGGGAAGATTCAGGACTAGCCAAACTAACCTAGCATTGCAATTCCTGTGTTCCCATGAAAATGACAAATTTATATTGGTAAGTCTCTGGAGTTCCCAGTTTCTTTATGTGGTCTTCCTTAACATTCTCATTTGAAGGCATGCTCTGCAGTAATTTTTCAGTTACTTTCTAGTCATTTAAGTTCTTTCACATGAGAAAGATTCCACCTTCATCACATTTTACATTGTTCTGTCCATTAATCTGTGAGTTTACAAGAGTTTTTATAACTTAGAGGATGTGATACCAGTTTATATCCACCTAGGTAAAGCCCATTTTGTGCTCAAACCAGCCCTCTGATCTCCAGCGGAGACTAGGAGACCAGCCAAGGATATTCTTTTCATGGAGGCTGATTCCGTTTTCTACAGTACAGGGAAAGCAGACTGGAAGGGCACAGCTATCTGATTCTGCAACTCCTCTGATCACATACATATGCTGACACGTACCGGCTGAAAGTTGGAGCAGGGGAGCAGAGTCCCACTGTATTCCCTCCTCCCCCAGTCACTATGACTCTCGATCTTTCCCAGTACCATGACCTGAAGGAAAGCAAGATAAAGATGGGTGAGGGTCTCTGAGTGAGGAGGTCATCCTCACCACATTTACTGCAGTTGAGCAATTTAGTTTCATCTGGCCAGTTTACAACTGTAGCCAAGAATGGGGCTTTGTAGGTACCACTCACACTCCTGCACTTCATGACTTCACTTGCTGCAATAGCTGCAGAAATAGTAACGTCAGCACAGGTGACTTTTTCAACTGCAGCTAACAAATGCCTCTGTGTTGGACTAGGACAGTGAAAGTAATAGAAAATCATGTTGTAATTAGATGTGGTTTTGAGCAAAAGACAAATTATTTATTTCTTTCTTCAAATGAAGCATAACACTAAGGTATAAAGGGAGTATAAATAACATCTGATTGTGCTCCTAAGCTCCATGCTATAACTTTCTTGCAATGACATCCTTCAACAAATTAACTACATCATTACTGTTAAGTATTAATAGCACAAAACAGATACACAAAATATATAATGAGCTAGAAAGAGGACAACATTCTTCCATTATGACAAACAACTGTAACAAGGAATGGAAAAAAAAACCAATAGATCTAGGCTTACACAGATGGCAACACTGAGAGTTTTAAGTCCTCTCCTTGAACACATTATATGTGATAAATAATATGCAAAATATTTAAAGAATTTTATTGTTGCTTACAGAAGATACTTAGCAAGCAAAGAGACAGCAGCAATCACTGCCTCATGTCTCATATCCCCATAATTCAATGCAATTTTTTACATTTCATGCAATAATCCTGAGCTTATTTTCAGTAACATTGAAATGTTATCTATATTAATTACCAAATACACACAGAGCCCAGCTATGGGTTCTACTGTATTATTAAGGCATGAAAAAAGAGTAACAGTTTATTAACTCTGAATGCCACAAATACAGCACAGCAGTTAGAAGGCTCAAAAAAGCTCAGAAAGTACCAGTGATTTCTGTGCCAAGGTCCACCCATAACATGACTGTTAATCATCAGCTCCTGAAAAGGTACAGAATCAAATCCTGGCCTTGCTGACATTAGGGAGTTTTGCCATTGCCTTGACTGCTGGACCACGCTTCAGAGCTATCAGGAGTGACTCAGACTCCATATCCCCAAAAAAATTGATGAACTTCCTATCACTCAAGTCAAGTATGTATTTAAAAAACAATATCTACATATTGTTTATTAGTATTTGAAGTCTATGGAAAGGCTCCATTTATTATAGAGTATGGCAATTAATAAAAAGCCTTTTCAGAAAAAGCTTATTTGTTAGTCTGATCTGTTAGTACGTTAAAAGAAGGGGAAAGTACCATGAAAAGAACCTCTGCAAAGTCTATGCTCTATTTATAAATTATTTTTAATTTTAAAATGAAAGACTTTGGTAAGCCAAACCAAGGATACACGATGCAGTATCATGCCATGGTCCATTGGCTTTTCTCAAAGACAAAGAGCACTGCAGCCCTGTCCACACATCAAGTGAAGACCTTATCATCTGCATAAACTGCAAAGGGCTGGTAGTGTCTGCATTGTGCAGTTCTTCACACAGTCTCTATTTTACATTTAAGAAGTTCTTGCAAAATGCTCTTTTGTGAGCTAGGGTCTTCCAGTTCAATTAACTAAGCCATGGAAACCAAGACCAAATTGGTGGCAAGACTTACTTCACGCTTACAGTTGTGTTATTTCCCACACGGGGAACTAAAATAGCAGATGATCTCCTCTAACTCTGCTACTGTTATTCTACCACTGCCTGCCCCTTATGTAGTTATTTGCCTAGTTAAGTCCAGAGTTTACAGATCTAGTAGCCTTATCCTTCATCTACAGGCGGCCCATGGTCTGCTGTTAAAGAGCAAATGTGCAGGAGGGATAGAGCCTTTTATGCACACTTCTTTCTGTGTCTGCATGCCTTGCACACATAAGCCACCCCTTGACAAAGATATTGGTGTCCAATTCTGTCACTGCAAGGCTCTGAAAACTTTGCAGATGCACAAATCCAACTTATTTCATCTAAATCACAAAGTCATAATATTGAAAAAACAGCTTGTCACAATAAAGCATTCAGGAAACTCATTACAGTCTCATTTAATACAGAAGGAGAAAAAAGATTGTTGATATTAGTTACTGGCTTAGAATTTGTGTGGTTTTTGGTTAACTTCTACTGATAAATAAGTTAAAGAAGGCTAAGGCTATAAATTGGTACTGTTTCATTTATAAATATTCACTTTATTTCTATTCTCTTCCAAAAAATGTGTTAAGGAAAAAGGTGGCCAGAAGGATTACACACGTTGTAAATTGTAATTTGGTTGTTAGGCTGTAAAAACCAAACATGTAAGTGAAGTTGAGCACAGTGTAAGAAAAAGCCAGTTTTTAATTAACAACTTATTTACAAGTTCATAAAATCAACTGAACTGGAGTAGATGTTCTGTGTTTGTCACCAATATTTTATTGTAACTGGTAACTTGCACACTTTATAGTTGAACAAAAAGAAAATAAAGTTCACTATATACAGCCCTTGTACAGGCTACTTGACTATACACAAGGCATAGTGATCATAACACAACCTAGCCTTCATGATAATTTGTGCACAAAAAGACACCAATTAGACATTATGTGAACATTACAGTGAAATGACATCACAAGTCCAGTGAAAATTTAGCATAATACAAAACATACTGATCTACTGCAACTGACATCCTTTATTCAGTAGTAATTTAACCAGAGTCTGATGCAGAGATTCGTTGTGTAGTTATAAGTCTTTTAAGTGAAGCAACCTCTGCAGATAAGCTTGCTATGCCCTGCTTCAAATACAGGTTCTCTGACTCAGAGACATTGTAGATATTGTCTTTTATTTCAACAACTCCAGTTTTGCAACCACTCTGAATTTTTACATTGAGTTCCTTCTGATGCCAGAGTTCTGGTTTAAGTGACCAATCTTGGATGTTAGTCACTTGAACTGAGAAAGGAGTGTGAGAAGAATGCACTAAGTTTTGTGCACCATGTTTTTCAAGCTCAAAATGTCTTTTTGAGGACATGTCAATGGGTGATGACAATTTCTGTGTTGCATCATAGTCATTATCCATTGCTTCCACTTTAACTTGCATGGCTTTGGCTTTAATTCGAAGCTTGTGAGGCAAAGCTGAAGAATTCACTTCTGGAACTTTAACTGTTGCATGAACATTTTTATGTTCAACTGGGGAATGGATTGGACCCTTAGGAACCTGCTGTTCATCTTCTCCATCAGATGACTTTCCAACTACACCATCATCAGTTTCTGACGTTCTAGGGGAATTACTGGAGGACCTATTAACTTGCAGGAGAGGAGGAGAATGTGAGTACACATTAAAGGCAGCTCCCATGTAGTTTGGATATATGGATGCTTTATATGAACCTCTGTCATCTCGTGGCTCTCTCTCCAGTTCCATGGGCTCCTGTTTTATAATCTGGAACTTGTTTTCAGGACTTCTGCAGTTGCTTTGTATACGACTTGGTTGAGTGTGCTCTATGGATGACATTTCAGACACATCAGACATTGAGCTTTGAGGAGAATGTTTAATGACAGAAATACAACTGCTACCAACTATAGATGGTTCATGTTCATCTACAAACGAGTTAATATTTGATTTGGAACTCTGATAGTCTTGGAAATACACAGTTGTTGAGCTACTGAGTTTCTGTATCTCTTGGGCATAGGCTGTAGAACTAATTAAACCAAACTTCAGCTTCAACGAAAGCAGCTCTGCCTTCAAAGTGGCATTCTCCTCTCCCAGTGCAATTAGTTTGTTCTCTAAGACAAGGTCATTCAGTCGTCGTTTTTCACGAGATCTTTTGGCAGCTTCATTATTTTTCCGCCTTTTCTCCCAATACATAGCATCTTTCTTTTCATCTGGAATGAATTCTCGCTTTCTCCGGCAAGCTGAAGATTTGCTTTTTCCACTACTTGCTTCAGTAAGTAGTATATCTTCATTTGTAGACAATTCTTCAGACACTTCTGCTAAAGTAGACTTAAGTACCATGATTTTGTCGACATTGCTACTTGTGTCAACAGGTCCGTGTTCCTTTTTAAGGGTCTGCATTTTTCTCAGCTGCATCAGAAACAATTTGCAGTAGATGTACAATGAGCAACAGAGCAAGCACTATCCCCAGTACTTCTCAATCCACAACTTGATAAATACAGTAATTTTAAATCCACACATATTCTTCCTTTTCTTTCATACTGTCAGACAGAAGTGTCTAAAACCAATTTTCGTGGCAGAGGCAATGGGAATCTTCTTAAAAACCTGCAATAAATACAGAATTTGATTACTATTTAGGAACTGCTGGTTCAGGACACGCTAAAGTAGCTTTTGATAAAAAGCTCAGACCAGCATTTGATTCATTAACCCTACTGCAATATGAAGACAGCCCAACACTGAAACTACTGATATTCTAAGATTTGCTTCTAAAACAAATAAAATATGGTAAATAAAATACAATAAAATCAATTTAAAAATACTTGAGTTTTGATCCCATAGTAATGTTGCACGGAACTTTCCATGACAGTCATAGAATCATAGAATAATTTGGTTGAAAAAGATCTTTAAAATCAAGTCCAACCATAAAATGCTATCACTGATCGACCTAAACCGCCAACACTGCAGGAC